ACATCAGATTAGCACCAGTGACAGAAGAACAAATTCCAGTCATGTCTGGTTTTGTGAAACAGTAAGTATAAATTTCGTGTGAAACATTACTTACAGGCAACTCTACCACTGAAAGGACATTCATTCACCCACAGTCTCTTCCAGGAAGTGTTTCACCCATGAGCTCCTCCCAGCAGCCTTTATCTGCAGGCTTCACTCCTGGAGGGAAGGAGGGAGAGAGGGAGAGAGGGTGGGTGGGAGGGAGGGCGGGAGGGAGGACATAAAGAAGGGGGAAGAAGTACATATATAGTGGGGAGGATAATGGAGAAAAAAAAATCAGGATCAATGGGCCCTTGATTTTAGTGAAGGATTATTACTTTTAATGAATGACCCCAAAACCCAGTTATACAGATTTTCATAGGCAGAAACTTGAATTCTTTTGTAACAAGATAAGCAAGACAGGAGTGAGGATTACAGTGAGCTATCAAGCCTTTGCCATTGATTCACACTGCTCTCGGAGTCCCTCAAGATGGCTTGGCTTTGCTCATAAGGACAGGTAGTCATTTCCTTCCAGTTGCTGTGACAAAACTCCGCCTGGAAATGTTTTAGGGGAGAAAGGGTTTATTTTAGATCACAGTTCCAAGTGACTGTCCATCCCTTCAGGGAAGAAACAGCAGGAGGAGGCTGAGGGAACTGGTTATATTACATCTTCAGTCAGGAGAAAGCAAGAGGCACATGCTTGTCAACACTTAGCAAGCCATTTTGGTTAGGTCCAGAGCCCATCCTTCCCATGAAATGGCGTCACTCATGCTAGGCTGAGACTTCCCACACCAATCAGTGTAATCCAGATGAACATCTGAAGACATATCTGATCGAGTCAACCCCTCATTGAGACTCTTCCCAGACAATTGAGCCCTAGTGACAATTAAAATTAAGCATTGCAGGTCTTATGCAGTCAATGACTTCCTGTTGACCACATTTCATTCATTGTGAAGAATAAATGAGTTTTAGAAATTTTTGTTTTTACTTTAATGTCTAATGTTGTATGAGAAAGGGACACATGGAGATATGAGAAAGCATTGCCTTTTTTTGAATTTATGTTTTCATTTACTTATTTATTTTGGTGTGTGTGTGTGTATGTGCGTGTCTCTCTGTGCGTATGTGTCTGTGTGTGTATGTATGTGTATGTGTTTACGTGTCTGTGTGTGTATGCATGTGTATGTGTGTGTATGTATCCATGTGTGTGTATGTGTCTGTGTGTGTGTATGTGTCTGTGTGTGTATGCATGTGTATGTGTCTGTGTGTGTATGCATGTGTATGTGTCTGTGTGTGTATGCATGTGTATGTGTCTGTGTGTGTATGCATGTGTATGTGTCTGTGTGTGTATGCATGTGTATGTGTCTGTGTGTGTGTGTATACGTGTGTGTGTTTGTGTGTGTGTGTGTGTAAGTAAAGGTGTGTAGGTGCATTGTGAATTCAGTAACTAGTTCTTGTTCTCCATCTTACTGTTTTGTTGCCATATTGTATGGTAGTTCAGCCAGTTTAACCGTGAGCTTCCTTCTGGAGCTGCTTCTCACTGCACAGCCTACTTCACCACAGGAGTGTAAGGATTGCAGGGAGAACCACATCATCTATCTTTCTGCATCAGATCCAGGGATCCAAGTCAGTCATGTTTATGCGGCAAGTGCTTTTACCTGCTGAGATCTCTCCCCAGCTCTTTCCTAAGTGCTTCGTTCCGTTTGTTATTTACTTAGTATTTATTTTATGATAAATTGTAATCCATCAACAAAAAATATTTTTGAATCAAAATGTATCAGGTTTTAAAAGCAATATAGTTTCTTTTGGTATTTTTTTCATTATAATTCTTTGATTTCAAACACACAGGAGAATTTTGGTAGTTTTCATCTTCCATTCCCTTCACTCCTTCCCCTTCCTCTCTTGAATCAGGAGATAAGACCTAGGAAAAGTTGTTGTCAAATGTTAAATTGAACAGTGTTGTATGTACCAATGTGTGTGTCAGAGTGTGTGAGTCTGTGTCAGTGCGTTTGTGTGTATATGTGATGAATAATCCATTTTTCACATTCTGTAAATATAGTCAAGAAATAATGTATAATGAATTGTGTCAACGGGTACTAAATTCAGCCCTCTCATCTTAAGACTCGGGTGTGAGAACTGAAAACTTCACAGAGATCTTGAGACTGAAATTCATGTCACTGTTAAGGAACTTCTCTTGCCTCCCCCACCCCCAGTAAATATACTGGCTTGTTTTAGTAAGAATCAGCTACTTGGAAGGCACATGCCTGGGTCTTCCTTATATATTAAATTCTCACCACAAGTTTCTCACAAGAAAGAATCCTTTTCAGCAATTCAGTCAAAATAGCTCAGGGATGGAAACTTATCTTGTCCAAAGTTACAGTTTGTGCTTTTCACAATTGTCAGGAGAGATTTTTGAAAGTAAAACAAAAAGTCCACCGTATACGTTATTATGTATAGTTGAGCTTCTTTGGCTTTTCTCTTTCAAACTGAAAGTAAAATGACTTTTTCCTTTCAATTTATTAAATTTGTTATTGATTTTTAGATTATATTTATATCAATTCCCTTTTTCTTTTTTGCCCTCAACCTTTTCATATACCCATTCTTAGGTTTTTCAAATTCATGAACTTTCGAAATTAACTCTGTGTGCGTGTGTGTGTGTGTTTGTATTTACATATACAATGTTATATGTATATAATCATATACATTTAACACTGTAACGCATACATATATGCAATACATACATATACACATTTAATATATACAATACATGTTTCTATGTGTATATTTATTTATAATATATGTATACATACATATATATACACACACACATGCACACACACACACAAACACACATATTCTCAAATATAACCTGCTCAGTCTCTACAGTGTTATTTGTATATACATTGTTTCAGGGCTGACCTTTTGGTATTAGATAACAAGTTGGTAGGCCCTCCTCTGTGTTAGACCACTTCTCTCCACTCTTAGCATTTCTTTGTTACCTGCAATTCTTTGGTAGGGTTGATGCTAAGTGGTCTTTCTCCATTCCACTTTGCAATTATGATTTCGAGAAATTAATAACTGTTTCATCTATGGACTCTATTCCACTGGCAGCATTATGAAGTCTCACATTTGTGCTCTGATCACAAATGTGGTAATCATGTCAAGGAAAGAATGCCTAGTTAAATTCTGAATTTTAGTATCTACTTAGTATATTTATCCTTGAAAAATTATATGGATTGGATTATAAGTGATTCATAGCAAAAGCAAGAAAATTAAGAAGCTTAGAGACAGCCCAGACATGGTGACCGTTGCCTTTAATCCCAACATTCATGAGACAGAGGCAGGAGGATCTCTGTGAGTCTGAGGCCAGTGTGTTCCCCATAGCAAGTTCCAGGACATCCAGAGCTACATAGAGATCCTGTCTAAAGTGGAAAAAGGAAAGTAAATAAATATCTTAAGAGCACAGAGAAATCAAAGTATCCTAAGTTTAGTAGATACTTTAATTTTTATGAATACATTCTCAAATTATTCTTGGGTTGAGCTATATATAATCTGTATATCTAACATTGCTCTCAGGTTTATGACAGCAAAACAAAGAAATACATTTTTAAAATCTGCATTATGAAGGTTTCAAACAAAATGTTACAAAGTAAACCGAGCATTTTTATAACGTTCCATTTAAGATGACATTTTCAGACACATTGTGAGTGTGGTCATCAAAACAAGCAGATTTCATTTAGTGTGAATTTACTTATTGCTGAATCTCCAAAAATACCATAAATTAACCAAATAGATGAGGCTGCCCATGCAAAGGAGACATTTGCACTCGCTATCTTACAGCCAGGAAATCGTTACCAGTGTTTAGGTGCAGTAAACTCAGATTCTTTGGTATGTAACTGCTTTGGAGATAATCTTTTCTAGTAAAAGTTAAAGGCTCCAAGATTACACAGTTTATTAGGCAATCAGGTATATATTTTTTTTTTCATTTTTTATATTTTGGGGGAAAAAAAGAAAGCCAGCAACAGCAAACACCAAAAACCAATAGAGATTGTTTCTTGCAAATTAGGAACAAGGTTTTCCTAGATAGATGTAGCTTTTCTTTGCTGGCAAAGAACACAGTAGTGGCTGTTTCCACTGTAGAAGGCGACACTTGTATCTTTACCTGTGAAGAATCGTCTCTATTTGCACTATACCGCAGAAAACAATGTAGCATTTCTTCCAAACACTTTTCTCATGACCTTATAGACTAATAAGACACTTGCTGGGTTCCTGTGATACTGAATATTAAGTTCATAGGAAAGCACCCTGATATATTCATTCATTCTCTCTCTCTCTCTCTCTCTCTCTCTCTCTCTCTCTCTCTCTCTCTCTCTCTTTCTCTCTCCTTTACTCCCTCTCGCCTCTCTCTGTCTCTTCCTAGCTTTCTTTCTTTCTCTTTCTTTTTGTTAAATGCTAGACTGCTCATAGTAACTCACATCTATAATTCTAGTATTCAAGAGGCTGAGGCAGGATAATCCTTGTAAGTTTGAGGCCAGTTTGGGAAGCATAGTGAGTTCCAGCCCACCCTGGGCTTCAGACTGAGTACCTGTCTCAATAAACAAACAGAAAAATTAAGCGACAATAAGCTGTGATCTTACAGATTTTACACAGACAGACTTCACAGTGTGGCTCCTGGTCTTTCCCTCCATTCCTTTTTCTTTGAAAATTTCTCCGCTTCTCACTTTTGGAACTCCCAGACTAGCCTAAGAAAGACTCAGCAAAACCAGGCTGTTACAACAGTCTTTTCAGATTACATCATTGTCTTCTTAATCGTCAGAATAAAATAGGGACTCAGAGAGCACAGATGGGAAACTCAGATGTGACAAGTGTCTTACTTACCTTCCTTGCTGTACAGAGCTGAGCCATCTTAAAGTCCTGCTTGGATAAGCCTGACAACTGCTTACCTCCAGCTGACTGAGTCTGTCTTCTTCTCCCTTGCCTTGCAGGAACATTTTCAGATGTGTCTGTGTTCCCAGAAAGCCAAGCAGCGAAGAGGGAGGCCCAGAAAGAAACTGGTATTTCCTCTCCTTCCTGCTTTGGTCTGCTTTTTTTTTTTAAGTTCTGTTTGCTCCCAAAAGACCTCTTGGATGATTGCCCACAGAACAGTGGGCCCATTCAGAGGAGTCCCGTGTGTCTTGTCTTCCCAAAGCTACTCTAGTCTTGCACACCTACAGTTATGACAAACACAGAGCTATCAGCATGTTGTTTTGCTTCATAGAATACATTGAAACATCACACTTTGGCCAGCAAATACTTATTAAAGCATCACTGCTTGCCCACTATCTCTGTCATATGAACTGAGATATTTAGATTATTAAAACTGCCTAGAGGAGGAAAACAGCCTCCCAAGTGTTTAAAGGATTACACTTGAGCTATTAATTTTATTGCCTATTTAAATTTGGTAACCGTGTTGATGAAAGGAAGCCTCATTTCCAACAGGCTTCTTACCCACACTGGATACTGTTGGGGACAGGTGTGTGGTATATATATATTCATGTCACATGAAGTGATATGGTTTCATTAGTTTATCTTATACAGAATATATGTATTTCATAATTTTAACCAAGTGTGGCATGTTTCTACTGTGTATTTAAAACACTTCTGAATCGTATTGGTTCAGAATTGTTGAACAAAATGTATTAAAAGCTAACATTGATTTAGCAGGGGGGGAAACATGATAAACACATAGTAATGTCACTGCACAGTTCAAAGCTTTATTAATAAATCCCCAGATTCACCCAGTATTATTAATGATGGTCCTGTTGAAAATAGGCAGCCCGATCACTGAGGCAGTCAATAAGATGATGTTGGATAAACTCATGCTTACAATTCAAGGTCTTAGCTTTCTTTGACCTACTAGAGTGTGGTTGCTTGCTCTTTTGGCCTCCAGCAAGACTCCTTCGTACACAGTTTCCTGGCCTTGCATTTGCAGTCTGTGGTCTAGATGCTATTCAGTACAGCTTCCACTCTATGCCTTGTTTAAACCTGTGGCTGCAAGTGAGGATGGGTGTCTTATCTACAACCCCTAAGCCTCCCATAGTGCCTCAGTGGCTCTGACCTGGTCTTCAAGGCCTGCTTGTTCTGGTTGCTACCTGTTTTTCACTTTGCTTTCTGTTCCATCCCACTGGGGGCCACTATTTAGGGCAAATGGGCCTGCTTGTTAGTAGATACTATGTGTGCTTTTACAGATCTTTACTTTAGGATGCTCTTCCCTCCCCCGAATCCCTGCTATGTGCATCTGTGAATACTGTTCCCCCCGTTTTAATTTGATGTGTTTGTCAATTATGTCTTCTCCGAACAGCGAAGTTTGTCATGATTTCTTCCCTCTTTTGAAATGATAACTTCAATTTTCAAACCTCCAAATATGTATTATGTTATATTGAAATGGTATGTGAGCCAAGATTATACTCCCTACAGGATATCTGAATCTGGTTTACTTTGAACCCCAAGTATTCTTGGCACAATTCCTTAAACCTGTTATCCAGTAAGTAATTATTCAGTGAATGATAAATTTTTCCTCTTTGTTCTATAGTGCATGATGTAGCTAACATCTCCTGGGATTTACAGATGTTGGTGTTTATATATGTTCTTTTCTTTTAGTTAAGCACATAATGGATGTATTTAAAAATCTAGATCTTGGGAGGCTATATTCAGAACCCTATAATATTTTATATAATCTAATGACTTTCCAATTTAATCTTTTTTCCCCTTCACAATAACATTGTGTAGTTTTATTTTGGTTCTTAAGAATTCTCACTGCTTAAAAATATATAAAAAGAAAAGTAAAAACAAAGTGAAAGCCACCTCACAGTGGACTCTGGGATATATGTGGTTTATTTTTATCAACATTTTAACGGTATCATGTGCAAGTGGAAAGAACAGTTGTTGCTTCCAAACCGTAATGAAATACTAAAAGGGTTAAATATGAGGCTTAACTGGAAATTGTGGGGCGCAGGAGTCTTTAAGAATATTACAAGAAAATTTTAGTTCCACAGTTTTTACCATTGCTCATTGTTCAAACCAAAGGTATATTTATACTTAGTAATATTACATTTAATGTATGATCTTATGGTGGGTACAGAGCCATGGTAGAACAGTGGCTTAGCATGTCTGATGATCTGGGTTTCATGCCGAAAACTGTGAGATAAATTTTAAAGTATGGGCTGGGAACTTCTTATATCCACAGGGATATGAGAAGAAGTTAGTGATACCACTCAGGAAGAGTATCACTATTCCAGCTGCTCTGTACAGCCAGCTCTGTGTCTGAACCTCTTCTCATTCTTCTCTTCAAAGTTGGGTCTGGATGTATCTAAATCAGTGTCAGGAGATACAAAGATGCCCCGTTGCTCCTGGATGCTCCTCTCATCTTCCTGCAAATGGTTTTGAGCATTTCAGACAGAGTAGCAAACTGCAGAATGAAAAAAAAAATCGCCAAAGGGGCTTAGCGCATACATTCATCAACTTCAAGTCAAACAACATTTTTTTCTCCTTTAATATTTTAAATGTATTACCAGTAATTCTAGAAGAGACTTGCAACACAATAACATCTCCATTGTCCCCCTGGAGGGAATCTTTAATTGTTTTAAAAGGCAAAAACAATTGCGTTCTTATAAATATAGTCATTAAAATGTGCATAAATATAGTTATTCAGTAGAGCTATGTCAGCAGAAGCTGTGGCTGTTGACTGGTGCCTCAGCTTTACTGGGGGTAGGAGCAACTGGCTGATGTTGGCGCTTTAAATCTCCCAACATATTCCTACAGCAGAGTGGCTGCTTACCGTGAGTGGTATTTAAAGTTCTGCTCTTAAACCTTTTAAAAATACACTTTTGTCTCATTTGTTGTTTCCATATCTTAATGATATTCTTTATTTTATTTTAAAATTAAAAGGAGCAAGGAAGCAGTTCTGAGCCTTCAGTACCACAGCGAATTGACCTTTTCCATGGACCAATGTTTGCGCCTATGTTTGGTCTGGATTGGTTTTTCCTTTACCTGTTTACATGCAACCAACTCCATTGTGCCTCAGAGCCTTTACCTTTTTATTTTTTGATTCATTGTCTTAGCTTTCCTTGAGCTATTATCCCATCCTTCCCAAAACCGCAGAGACTGCTTGGCTAGTCATCAGAAGTATTTAAAACGGTAAACAAGGCTGGAGAGAGATGCCTCCTCAGTTAAGAGGACTGGCTGCTCTTCCAGGTGAGCCAGGAATGAATCTAAGACCTCACATGGCCACTTACGACGCTCTGTGACGCCAGTCTCAAGGGATATGACGGCCTCTTCTGGCTTCTTTGAGCACCAAGCATACATGCAATACACAGACATTTATGGAGGCAAACATACACATAAAAGAATAAAATTAGATTTAAAACACAGAATGTGTTGCTCAATACACAGGATGCTCAATATTTCCTTTAAATATTTTTTTTAATATTTCTTTTCAGACTCTATTGGAAAAATATTTTTTAGTCACATGGGGATATGAAATAAAAGTACATTCAGGAATGGTAAATGGTGCTGTTAGTGTAATCCCAGTACCATTGGAACAGAAGGATTGCAGGGGGAGGAGGAGGAGGAGGAGGAAAAAAAGGAGGAAGAGGAGGAGGAGGAGGAGATGGGGAAAGGAGGAGGAGGATTAAAGTAGTTCAAGTATAGAAACTGTGAGAAAGATAATAAGGATACATTTGAAAAAAAATGGGAAAGTGGCTAACCTTAAGGTATAGCAAAGATTTCCTTTCTTAAAGCAACAGTAAATCGTTTGACAGTGCTACAGCTTGGAAGTCAGACATGAAGGCAGCTGCAGCAACATGCTCCAGTGAAGATTCTACGGGGGAGGTGTGGGTGGGGCGTTCCACATCAGTTTTATTGCTTCTGTTAGCCCCACCTTCCCCTTGCCTTGGAGATGTAGCTCTCAAACCCTCTGCCATCACCAAACCCTCTTCCTATGCATATTCACACCATCTTCATTCTGTACGTGTTGCCGCTGTGGCTAAATTTATCCCCCGTTTAAAAGTCACGATGGATTAAAAATCCACTCTAGCAATCTCAGTTTAACTTGATTAGCCTACAAAGACTGTGCTTTCAAGGAATATTCGATTTGGTACTGTGGGTTAGAATTCCAGCATGTTTTCTTTGAGAGTCCCAATACAATATATTGGGACAAGTCAGAAAGGAAGACCAAGCCCAAGATAGTTAGTTCCAGTTAAAACAAAACAAAACAAAACACAGCAGGGCAAGAGTAAAACCCACTCCTCAATTATCTCACTAAAACAGAAAGCCTGTAGGAGTATATATTTATAAATTTCCACTAGTCATGGTGGAGGGAATATTGATTCCCTTATTTCATAACAATTCTAAACTTCAGGCAAACAGTCTTCAGTAGGTAGAGAAAGCTGTGAGACAAAGACCTGCAAAGTGATAGGAACTGGAATGTTTGGGCCACATTGGAGTTAAAGGAAGGAAATATGGCAAGGATGAAAGCAGCATCCATGATAATACCTCCAGTAGTCTGTCAGTAAGACAGCATTTAACCCAGTGCCGAAGAAACACAAAGCAAGTTAGACACCAAAGGCAGACTTGATTTGGAGAGATGGTTCAGTAGTTAAGAGTAATTTGCTGCTCCAGGAGAGGTAAAACGTCCAGCACTAAGTCAAGGATCACATAGGGACCCAAGACTCCAGCTCTTTTCCAGCCTTCATATGCCTGTGCAGGTATGCACATGCAGATACACACAAACACAAAGAGAGACGGAAAAGAAGAGCAGGTATTAATCAGGCCTGCATTTTGGAAGACGTTCAGGAACAGATAGATGACTGTGGTCATCACGTAAGCTGAGTAAGGAAGCAGTAAGGACCATGGTCTGTAGAAGATGAGGTGAGATTTGCATATGGAGACAAGAGAGCATGCCCCTCCAACTTTAGAGTGGCTGCAGGAGAAGGGAAGTTCCTTTGGTCTGGGTGAAGAGAATCTATAATTTTAATGTATACCTTTTGAACTTAGCCACTGATTGTTTCTCAGATCC